CCCAGCCCCAGCCCCGGCCAGGTACTCATTTTAAGAAGAGTTATCCCACTCATTCTTCAGGTCTCAGCCTGGGTGCCACTTCTTCCAGGAAGCCCTCCCTGACTCTTTCAGTCCTGGACCTTGTTTAGGACCCCATTTGGCCTCCTGATGATGTCTCCCAGCTCCAATCTGGCCTCTGCCACCTGGGTCCTCATTTCAGTCATTTCCCTCTGCTCCCAGCTTTTACTAGAYCTTCCAATCCTGCCTCCATCTGAATTTTTAAAAATATTTCTTTGTTGTCAATGGACTTTATTTTGTTTATTTATGTGCAGTGCTAAGAATCGAACCCAGTGCCTCACACAGGCCAGGCAGGCACTCTACCATTGAGCCACAACCCCAGCCCCATCATCTGAATTTGACTTGTCCATCCCAGTTCAAACACTCTCTGTGGCTCCCCAGTGTCTCGGAACAAAGTCCCGGCTCCTCATTGTGCTCCCGGGGCCTGGGATGATCTTTCCCCAGCTATTCTTTGGTTCATTTTTTCACCACAGTCAGGCTGAATATCTTTCAGTTCCTGGAACCAAAACCACATGTGCATCACTGATCCTGCAACGCTGCTTCTCCTGCTGAGCTCACCTTTTCCTCCTTTCCATGCTGCGCGTCCCTCTCCACCCACAAATCGCCTCCTCCACGAAGCTCTCCTTATCCCCCATGGCTGAATTAGGTATCCCCTCTGGGTCTCCCAGTCCCCAGTCCCTCCCCATCCCATCCCTGACACTCTGCCAGTCTCTCCTTTATCCTGACCCTAACCTCTCTGGGCTATCACTCCCTGGTGACATGTCTGTCTATTCCACTGGGCTAATGAGTCCTAAGAGGCAGGGCCAGGCCTTCTCCATGACCACTGTGTCCCCAGCACCAGTGAGCACAGGAACAACACATACCATGCTCRGAGACCAGCTCATTCATCTATTTGGCCAAGCCCTGCTCTAAAAAGTGGGGATACAAGCCATATAAGCTGGGCATGGTGGTGTACRCCTGTAATCTCAGCAGCTTGGGAGGCTGAGGCAGGAGGATTGTAAGTTTAAAGCCAGTTTCAGCAATTTAGCAAGACCCTGTCTCTAAATAAAATATAAAAAGGGCTGGGGATGTAGCTCAGTGGTTGCATGCCCCTAGGTTCAATCCCCAGCACCCCCCCCCAAATAAAGGGGGTGGGTGGGGGATACAGTGCAAAACAGGAAAAAAAAATCCTTCTAACCAGGCATGGTAGGCCTATGTCCACCTGTAATCCCAGCAACTCAAGGGGAGGAGGCAGGAGGATTATAAATTTGAGGCTGAATACGGCAATTTAATGAGACTCTGTTTCAAAATAAAAGTGCTGGGGATGTAGCACCCCTGGGTCCAATCCCTAGTACTGGGGAAAGAAAAGGAGAGGGCAGGGGAAGGAAGGGGAGGGGCAGGATCCTTCTAATAATGAAATTCTCCTGGGTGAGTAAGAATAAATGAGTAACATACGGTACATGCCTTGGAGAAAAATAAAGCAGGGGACAGTGGCATCACAACTGGAAATGGGTAATGTTCTAGTTCAAAAAATAACTCAGGCCAAGTCTGGAGCGAGGAATATTATCACCATCCCTGTTTTTCAGATGGGTGTCAGGGTTCAGGGAAGCCACCTGCTCGGGTGGCACAGTATGGGTTGCTCAGCTGGGGTTTTGAATCCAGAACTCAGTTCTGTTTCAGAATCATACACTGTTGAACCAATTCATGAGCAAATAAAATACAGCAGATCTCCTGTCATGGCCTCCTGCAAGGGACCCAGGTACCCCGAGGGAGGTGTGAGCCTGTGGAGGTGCAGGGTGTCGGGGAGAGGGTAGGCTCCTATGTTAGGACCCGCTCTGCTCAGAGAACTTTCTATACTTAATTTTCATGACAGTCCTTTTTAAAATCCCATTTAACAGACAAGGGAACTAAAGGCTGACGTGTTCCATGGTTGGCACAGCCAGGAAATGGGGAGCCAGGATTTTGAACACAGGCTGTCTCAGGGATCCAGGGACAGCGGCCCCGTGACAACCCCCTTTCCTTTTGTTTATAATCTGTAAATTCCTGCTGCCCACCCATGTACCCTCCCCAATACCAGTTGAATACTATAGTGGTGTTTTTTGCCTCTCAAAACCCCACCAGTACCCCATCCCTCTCCAAAAATCTGAAGGGGGTATCAGAAGCTTTGTCCAAATATAAAGGATATCTGAGTACAGAGTGAAGAGGACTCTCTTTCCAACAAGGMTGTTTCTTGCCAATCCTGAGTAGAAGTTCTGGAGCTGCTGGTGCTCAGGGTGATAGCTTCATGTCACTTTGGATTGTGTCCTTCCTCTGCTCCAAATCCTCCTGTGGCTCCCCCCTCACTCAGAATAAAAGTCAGTCTTCTTTGTCACTAATGAGGCCTCAAACAATCTTCCTGCATCTCCTACACCTCCTCCCCTCACTGGGCTTCTGCTATTCCTTAAATACTCTAAGTACTTTCCTACCTCAGGGCCTTTGCATTTTCTGTTCTCTCTGCAGAATGCCCTTCTCCCAGATAGCCATGCCACTCTCTCCTCTCCTGAAAGTTTTTGTTAAAATGTCACTTTCTCAGAAAACCTTCACAGACTTATTTATTTTGGTCCTGGGGATTGAAGCCAGGGGCTCTTAACACTGAGCTACATCCCCAGCCCTTTTAATAGTTTATTTAGAGACTGGATCTTGTTAAGTTGCTTAGGGTCTTGTAAAGTTGCTGAGGTTGGCTTTGAACTTGCAATCCTCCTGCCACAGCCTCCCGAGCTGCTAGGATTATAGACATGCATCACAGCCCCCCAGCTATAAGACCATCCTATTTAAAASGACAGATTAGTCAGGCAAGGTGGTACATGCCTGTAATTCCAGCCACTCAGGAGGCTGAGGCAGGAGGACTGCAAATTGGAGGCCAACCTCAGCAACTAAGTAAGACCCTGTTTTAATTAAATAAATAAAGGGGTTGGGATGTAGTTCAGTGCTAGAGTGCCCCCTGGGTGTGATCCCTAGTACTGTCAAAACAAAGAATCCAATGAACAAACAAAAAACCAAACACATACACACACTCAGCAAAAATAAACATCATAGGCAAGGTGTATAGCTCAGTGGTAGAGCACTTGCCTAGTATGTGCAAGGCCCTGGGCTCCATCCCCAGCATTACAAAATACACACATACATACATACTACAACCTTGACCGTGTATTCTGCACCCCTCTTCTAACACATCAAATAATCTATTTACCTACTTACAGTGTTCACTTCTTGTCTCTTACCCATACTAGAATGCAAACCCCAATAAGACTAGGGACTTTTCTGCTTTGTTCACTGACTTGTCCCCAATGCCTAGCACCGTGTTGAACACACATGCTTAAGAAATATGTGTTGAATGACTAACTTGTGTTTTCATTCCTATATTGCACATGCCACATGCCCAAGGTCATGCAGCTCTTTAAGTACTAAGTGCTTAGTCAAACTAGGGTGTTCTAGCCCCCAAGGCTCACAGCACTAACCACTGTACTACACTGCCCAAGATGGGCTGAATGAATAGGACTCAGGACTGCTGAATCTGGGACTAAGACCCAGGAGACCTGGGTCTAAAATAACTGTAGTTTCCCTTGCGGAAMCCTTCTTACTCCCACAGTTCTAGCTGAATGCTATCATTTTTGGGGTGGGGTCACTCCATAAAACAGGATAAAGAGATAAGGATTAAGAATTTACAGAAGCAAGGTTCATGTGTGGTAATCGTGGTGGAGGTGAAGGCAATATGAAGATCTTGGGGTGGAGTGGCTGCCGTGGCATGGTCTGTCACAGCAATGAGGGAGGTCACCACAGGAATGAGTGCAGCTGGGAAAGGGGAGGGGTGGATCATGAGAAGGTGAAGAAGGTGACTGGATGAGGATGACATGGTTAATAACAATATGATCCCAAAGGCCGTGTCAGGTTGACCATGCCATAAAAATGGATTTGCAGATTCTTGACGCTCTTCCTTGACACGCATATCCTTGTGTGTATTTTACAGATGAGGAAAAGGGGATTGGAGAGGAGCGTTAAGCTGGTCCACGGTACCTGGGCGTTTAGAGGTGGAGCGGGGACACTGACACATCCCAAATGATGGACTCTCCTACCCCATATGGTGGGAATATGAAACCCGACCTCTGGAAAGGGTGGAGAAAATGAGGGAAGAGAAACAACTGTACGGCCGGTTGGCTCTTTATGGAGAAAACTAGGAGCATGAGTCACAGATGGCGACTGTCAGAGGAGCAGTGGTGGCAGGGGAGAAAGGAAGACATAAGGGGTGGTAACGTCGTAAGGGAAGCGTGGTAAACGTCGACATAGTGACGGGGGGGGGGGTGCCAAGGTGGGGTTTGATGACGATTTAGAAGTGAGGATTTCATGAAGGTGAAACGGCAAAAAAGAGGGATGCAGTCCACGTAAGGCAATGACGACTTACAGGGGGCAATGAGGACTTAAGGGAAAGGAAAGATAATTAAAGGGATTGGTGGTTGCAGAAAGAGGGTGATGGCAACACAAGGGGAGTGGTGACGACTTAAGTGGGATACAGCATGAGAAGAAGTGGGTGACATGAACATGGATGGCATAAGAGGAGGGATGCATTATAGACCAGAGGATAACACAAGGAAGGCAGCGGGGCGCCGTGCCCCGGATCGCACAGTACCTGCACTCCTTGCCTTCCACTTCGGGACCCCACACGCACCTTCTAGACTGGAGCCCCGCCTTCCTGCCCCACCTGAGCGCAGGCTGGCTCCGGCTGGACCGCGGGCAGGCGGGGGCCGGGCCTGCGCCCTTCTCATTGGCTGAGCTCGTACCTAGCGTCGGCTGAAGGAAAGCGCCTGGGAGCCTGGGCACGTTCACGTGACCACCCGCCGCACTCTCGATGGTAGCGGCCCGGCGGGCTAGAGCGGTCGCGAGCGGTCAGTCAGGCTTCCGGTGTTGAGGGCGGGCTTCCGGGGCGGGGATCCGGGACCAAGGAGGAGTGTCTGACAGTTGGCGCCGCCGGGAGGGTGGGCCGGCTGCGCGAATGGGCGCAGGGCCGGTGGGCCAGGTGAGGCGAGGGCGGGGTGGGGTGGGGGGAGGTGGGCCTGGGCCGGATGCGGTGGGATAGGAGGGAGTACCGGGCTCCACTGGGAGACCCCGAGTGATTTCTTTCTCTTTACCTCGGTTTCCTTCTCTGTAGAATGAGGGTCCGAATAGAACTGTAGCACCCGCTTCAGAGGTCGAATGCAAAGTGAGCTCTTGCAGGTCACAGCCGCTAGCTCAGAGCTTGTACCTAGTGCTCCCTGCCTTTCTGTACCACTGTTAGCATTGGTGATGTTTGCGTTGGGCGTAAGAGATTGTTGGACTTGGAATCCTACTGACTTGGGTTCCAGTCCCAGATCCACTGTGTGGCAGTGGGCCCRTGCCTTCACCTCCCTGAAGCGCAGTTTTCTGCGCTGACAGTCTCAATACCATATGTTCATTTTGCAGATTGTGATGAGACGTGTATGTTAAGCATTTAGCATAGCAAGAGCTCAGTAGATTGGGACTATAATGATAATGATTCAGAGAGTCATTGGTGTAGCTRGGAATTCCAATAAAAAGGAGGAAGGAATCTCAGAGACAGCAGTAGGAAAAACAGTACCGCATCTGGGAAAATCGACATTCTGCCACTTATTATTTGGCCAATTTTGTCCAGTCTTGTAGTATAGATTTTTATTTTTCTTGAAAATGATTGTTGCGTGTTCCTTTGTCATTCATTTGAGAAGGAATTCACATTTCTGTTCTAATGGAAACCTAACATTGCTTGCCATGAGAAAGGAAAAAAAAATCTGAAATACAATGGAAACAAAACAGCCCATTAAATTGTAGACAGTGAATGAAATATAATTGAAAAGAAGATAATTTATGTTCTATGAGTCCATGTTTTCAAATCCCATCGACTCCATCAAATTGTTTTTGTTTTTTGGTAGTAATAGGGATTGGACCCAAGCCCCCCCCCCCATGGTAGGCAAATGTTCTACCACTGAGCTATGTGCCAGCTCTTTTACAATTTTTTATGTTGAGACAGGGTCTCGCAAAGTTGCCCAGGCTGGCCTTGAACTTGCAATTCTTCTGCCTCAGCCTCTGGTCAAAAGTCTTGGCATGCAGCTGACGTGTCCCACCCTGATCCTAGCTTACTGAAGATTTATTTTATTTAAGGCACACTTACCACTTGCTGAGTATTGTTCCAAGAGCTTTGAGTTTATTGGCTCATTTAACCCCTCTAACACCTTTAGCAATAGATACTCTTTCTTATTGTACAGTTGAGAAAAATGAGTTCTAGAAAGATTTAGCCACTTGCCCAGGATTAGGAAGAGGTAAAATTGGGATATGTATCTAAATCTAAGAGCTTAGCACATGAAATCTGGTACATGTTATTTAATTGAGTTTTGGGAACTGCCATGTAAAAAATTTCTATTTTGTTAAATTTCAACTCTGAAGAATGCACTGGAAGTGGCTTTTAAGGTGGTAGAGAAAGGTAATTGGGTCCAAGAGGGAATTCCACAGCAATGGGGAAGAATACCAATACTTAAAGGATTCAGATAAGCATTAGCTAAGATCTTGCAAGGACAGACTCATAGTAATACCTTGTTTGGCTAGTAATACCTTGTTTGGCATTAACCACAGTTTGAATTCAGTTCCTGGCCCTGCTGTGTGTTGTTGTGTGAACCTTAAACCTACCTCTTTCATGTTAAAATTTTTTACTTTTTTGCTCATTTTTACTTTTTTCTAGGCTGGCTGTGAGAAGTCACTGACTACAAACTCAATTCCTGGCATGTAGAAAGCACTCACAAGGACTTACTCCATGGGCATCGGAATCAAGGAGAACTTGTTTTTGAATCTCAGTAAGGTCAGTTGCTAGATGTGACATTTGACAAATGACTGCTCCTTATGAGTCAGTTTTTTGATTGATTAAAATAGAGCTAATAATAGTCTTTGCTCATGAGGCTATTGYGAGGCAATCAGTATGATGCTTAACTTTGGTCCTGATGCTGTTAGTGCTGGTTTGTGAGTTGCTGACATCTTACTGACATCTTTCCATGCCCTGCTCTTTTTTTTTAAATTTATTTTTATTTTTTAGTTGTCAGTGGATTTTTATTTATTTTTATTTATTTATATGTGGTGTTGAGAATCAAACCCAGTGCCTCAAACATGCTAGGCAAATGCTCTACCACTGAGCCACAACCTCAGCCCCATGCCCTGYTCTTTGAGGGATGCATATTGTATTATCTTTGTCTCATGGTAAAATCTAGAAGGGAAAGTGAATATGAGTGTCAGGTGCAGGGCAAAATGATGTCTGGTCATGTTCGTCAATCATGGAATCAGCAGAAGTCAGAAAAGGCCAGGGAAGAGGAGAGAGTCTGACATGTGGGAACTGAGGGAAAGCATCACAAAGTAGGGGACAGCCAACAGAGGGAAGAAGAACTTGCCAGGAGGATGATGGGAGATAGGTATTACAGGCTCATGTGACATCCTGTGTAGAAACTAAGAGGCAAGCTGGGTTCAGAGGCACATGCCTGTAGTCCCAGCTGCTCAGGGAGGGTAAGGCAGGAGGATCACTTGAGCCCAGGTGTTCAAGACCAGCCTGGGCAACATAGTGAGACCCCCCAACTCAAAATTAAACAAAACAAAACTGAGACACARGTAAAGCACCTGATGGAGAGGAAGGCTGACTGCCAGACCAGGGGATGAGGCCAGGAGGAGCCCTTCCCAGTCCACTTAGTATACACCAAGCCTAGTCTCAGCCCCCTCCCAGGCCTTGGTACATAGCCCACTTTGCCCTCACAGCAGTCCTCTAGAGTAAGTAACATCCAGCCACACCAGTGCACAGAAGGGGATCCTGAGACTGGACTGCAGAAGTAAGTAGTCAAGGCCACACAGCTAGTAAGTGGTATAGCTGGATTTGAACCCCCTGCAGTCTAGTTCAAGTCTTTACTCTTTTTTTTTTTTTTCCCTTTTCTTCTTCTTCTTCTTTTTTTTTTTTTTTTTTTTTGTTACCAGTGAGGTACATCCCCAGCCGTTTTTATTTTTTATTTTATTTTTATTTTTTTTTTAAAGAGAGAGTGAGAGAGGAGAGAGAGAGAGAGACAGAGAGAATTTTTAATATTTATTTTTTAGTTCTCGGCGGACACAACATCTTTGCTGGTATGTGGTGCTGAGGATCGAACCCGGGCCGCACGCATGCCAGGCGAGCGCGCTACCGCTTGAGCCACATCCCCAGGCCCCATATTTTTTATTTTGAGAGAGTCTCCATAAGTTGCTGAGGCTTGTGATCCTTCTGCCTCCCCTCCCAAATTGCTGAGGTTGCGGGTGTGCGCGCCACCATGCCTGGCTCCAGAGTCCTTACTCTTGACCACTCTGTTATACCCTCAGAATGGAGAGATGAGGGAGAAGCATCAGTGTTGGAACTGGGCCTGGTTCAAGAGGGCAGAGTCAATTGAGAGGGCAGAGGAGATGGAAGAGAGGAAGTAAGTTTGGCCCAAGACAGTGTAGCCAGGTGGTCCTGGAGGCAGGTAGCACATGAGAAAGTCGTTTCCTTTAGTTATCTTTCAACACTGCCATTCATGCCTGGAAAGTTTCCATTGGTGCTGATGTGTCTATAACACCTTTCAGCATCTGCTGGTCTTATCCAAGTGAAAATTGGCTTTCCATTTCCTCTCTGGCCCCCCACCTCTCTGACCAGGCTCCTGGTGTCCCGGCTCACTCCACTGCAGCCACACTGGCTCCTCATCCTTCAGATCTGCCAGCAGAGCCCCTGTCTTAGGGCACCAGACTCACTGGACCTTCTCTGTAAAACTACACGGTTTGGGCTGGGGTTCTGGCTCAGAGGTAGGGCACTCGCCTAGCATGCATGAGGCACTGGGTTCCATCCTCAGCACCACATAAAAATAAATAAAGAAATTGTATCCATCTATAACTAAAAAATAAATATGAAAAACAACAACAAAAACAAAAAACACAGCTTCCTCCCTCCCCTCCTTCAGGTCTCTGTGTCACTTTAGTCTTCTTTGATCATCCAATTGAAGATTGCGACCGTCCCCTCCCAGGCCCTACATGTTTTCTCCATAACATTGGTAGCTTCCAACACTCTGCACTGTGAGCTATTTTGCTTGTTGACTCTCATCTCACTCCCCTGTCTCTGCACACGCTAGGCTCCATATTTTGTTCATCTCAGTATTCTAAGTGCTTCACACGGAGTAGGTTCTCAGTAAACAATGTGTAAATGGGTGAGTGAATGGTATTTATGAAGAAGATTTTGGGGCAGGAAGTGTCTTTTTCTGTCCTTGTTCTAATCAGACCTTTGAGGTGTGTGGGATCAGAGCTGTGGACATTTGTTGTCCCTGGGACTTGTCCCAGGCACAAGTGATAGTTGTGGTGGCAGCTCTGTCTGAGCTGACGTTCTGTCAGTTGCTCTAGGCTATTCCTGGACTGTGAGCCCCTAGCCCAGGAATGCTCCTCTGGCAGGCAGGCAGGCAGGCAGGCAGGCGGGCAGGCAGGCAGGCCGGCCGGCACTGGAAGAGGAACGTGTGCTCACATGGTGGCGATTCATGGGCCTTCTTTTATTCTCTGTTCCAGGCTCCAGGGAGCAGTGTCTGGCCCAGCGAGACGATGGTCTCAGTGACTATGGGTGAGTCCGTCCTTCTCTGGATGGCCCCCTCTCCCCACTGCCCTTTCTGAGGTATGGCCGGGAGGGGGAGGGAGGGAAGGAAACTGGCAGGAACAGCTGTACTCTGACGAAGGTGGGGGGCAGGGCTGGGGCCAGTTCAAGGCTGCCTGCCCCTTCTGTGTATCTGGATCTACTGACTGCGTGGTTTAGCCATAAAGAACTTGCAGTATGATGTCTTTCAGATCTCCTACAGGGCTTCTCAGAGCCTTGGTTTTCTAACCTGTGAAATGGAAATCATAATACTCCTTGCATCCTGGCATTCTGGAGATTACCGCAGGTCATTTCTTGGTCATATGATCTCAACAAATGTTAACTGTTGTGATTTTCATGAGCTGTATCACCTGATTTTCTTTACACTCTGATTTCAGGATTGCCCAGACACAGAAATTACTTGGTAGCTTTGGAGAATCTTGAGATTTACTATACATATAGTGAAGTACAGGAAACCCATTAACATGATATTTGTTTTGGTACTGGGAATTAAACCCAGGAGTGCTTCTCTGGTCCTTTATTTTATATTTTATTTTTTATTTTTTTGTGCTGGGGATTGAACCCAGGGCCTTGTGCATGCAAGGTAAGCACTCTACCAACTGAGCTATATCCCCAGCCCTCCCTGGTCTTTTTTTAATTTTTAATTTTGAGAGAGTCTTGCTAAGTTGCTGAGGGTCTCTCTAAATTGCTGAGGCTGGCCTTAGACATGAGATCCTCCTCTCAGACTCCTGAGTCACTGGGATCACAGGGATGTGTCACCACACCTGGCTCCCATATGTTTTTTTTTTTTTTTTTTTTTTAATATTGTTAGTTTTGGGTGGACACAATATCTATTTTATTTTTATGTGGTGCTGAGGATGGAGCCTAGTGCCTCATGCATGCTAGGTGAGCACTCCACCATTGAGCCACAACCCTAGCCCTCCCATGGTTTTAAAACAATTAAAAAGCAAATATCTGAAATAATTATAATCCCATTTAAATACAGCATGGAAGCTGACACAACCAATCCATGATTTTAGRAAGTAGTTATTGCCCTTGGGAAGGGGTAATAGTGGCAGTAGGGGGATCTGGGATGTTGGGCATATTTTCTTTCTTGGTCAGAGTGCTGGTTACATGGAGTGTTTGGTTTAAGAAAATCTATTGACTTGTGTACCTTTTGGCTTACACATAGTGCAATAGAATGATTGAAAAACCAAACTCCCTCTAACCATCCTTGTCAAGAAGTGGAATATTTTCAGATGCCTCGGAGTCCTGCCTTGGTCCTACCCGCTCCTCCAGGTGGAGTAAATCACTCTCTGATCTTTTCTGGACATATTTCCTTATCTTTCTGTCTCTGTGTAGTTGTTTCACCAGTAGAAACCTTTTTATCACTCTCCTATTCTACAGACTTTTTATCACTCTCCTATTCTACAGAATTTTTTTTTTTTTCAGTGCTGGGGATTGAACCTAGTGCATGCTAGCAAGCACTCTACCACTGACTGAGCTGCACCCCCAGCCCCAGTCTTGGATTTTGGTGTCTGACTTCCTTGTTTGAGGATCATCTCTGTGGCCAAACAAAGCTGTTGTCCTTTCTTTTTCGCTGTTGTGTAGTACTTCACTAAGTGACACAGTATGTTCATAATGCCACCATCAAGAGTTGAAGCTCTTTCTTTTTTTTTTTTTTAACTTTTGTTTTTTAGTTGTTGATGGACCTTTTATTTATTATTTATTTATTTTCGGTGCTGAGAATCAAGCCCAGCGACACACATATAGGCAGCACTCTACCACTGAAGTACACTCCAGCCCTGCCATGTATATTCTTGTATCTGTCTCCTCCTGGTGTTTACAGCAAACACCCGCTCACCCATTCCTAGATACATTGTTGCTCAGTTAACATTTCTGAAGTGGGGCTACAACTTAACAACCAGCGGCTTTTGACAGTTTAATTGGCTGCTTGTTTTCCTTCTTAGTAATACGTGAGATGATGATGTGTGCTGGGTGGGGACATTTGCAGTTCCTTGGACACTGGGTTTCAGTAATCTTATGGTTAAAATTTCAGGATTTTCCTCAGGCAGAGAGTTATTTCCAACCTATGTGATGCTTTTTCGCTGCTGAAGAATAGATTAATTAAGATACAATTCATAAACGAGACATTTTACCTATTTAAAGTATACAAATTTAATGGTTTTTACATTCTCTATTCATAGGGCTGTGCAGCCATCACCACAGTCAATTTCAAAGCCTTTTTATCACTCTCCAAGGAAACCTCATGCCCATCAGCAGTCACCACTTCTTTTCTCCCAGCTCCTGGCAACCACTAATCTACTTTCTGTCTCTGAATTTGCCTGCTCTAGACATTTGTAGAAATGGAATCATTATGTGGTACTTTTTGCTACATAGACACATTGCCTACTGTGGGCTAATGGCACCCGGAGCCCTGCGTCTTGGCCGGTGTGTAGTGCCTGTTCAAAAGAGTGAAACAGCTGCCTTTTCCTGTGGGCGGGTGGAGGGAGCCTAAGGTCAGGAAGCCTTGTCTGCTCTCTAGCCCCACAGGGCTCAGGCCACTGCAAGACACTGGCTGCGCAGGGTCCTCCTTGGCAAGATGTGACCTAGGGGTCTGTGCCTGAGTCCTGCATGCCACCCATAAAACACCTAATCCTAATTGTGTCTTTTTTTCCACTCTAAGCTTCAGTTGTTTTAAAAGGAAAATGAGTGAAATTATACTAGATCTTTTTTGTTTGGGTACTGGGTAACTACTGAGCCATATCCCCCGCACTTTTTATGTTTTGTTTTGTGACACRGTCTTGCTAGGTTGCTTAGGGCCTCACTGAGTTGCTGATGCTGACCTCAAATGCAGTCCTCCTGCCTCAGCCTCCTGAACTGCTGGGATTACAGGCGTGCCCTGCCGTACTTGGCCCAAATCTTTTCTAATTCAAAATAGCATGGATTGTTAGGTGTACTATTATCACCACGAGAAAGAAGGTGCTGGTGAAACTGGCACACCATCAATTATGAGGTAGATCTTTATTTTAGATGTATTAAAATGTGAAAAAGAAAATGTCTACTTGGACCCCCCCACTTTTTTTTTGTACCAGAGGATTGAACCCAGGGGTGTTTAACCTACACCCCTAGCCCTTATTTATTTATTTATTTATTTTTTTAAAGAGAGAGCGAGAGAGGAGAAACAGAGAGAGAGAATTTTTAATATTTATTTTTTAGTTCTCGGTGGACACAACATCTTTGTTGGTATGTGGTACTGAGGATCGAACCCAGGCCGCACGCACACCAGGCAAGCGCGCTACCGCTGAGCCACATCCCCAGCCCCGCCCTTATTTATTGAGACAGGAACTTCCTAAGTTGTTTAGGGCCTCCCTAGACTGCAGAATCTGGTCTTGTGATCCTCCTGCTTCAGCTCTCTGAGCTGCTGGGATTATAGCCACTAAGCCCGCCCTGCAAGGAACCATTGGTCTTGTTGTGTGTTTTTGTTTTTGCAGTGCTGGGAATGAACCCAGAGCTTTAATTGCCTTACCACTGACCCACACCCCCAGCCCTTGGGATCATTGATCTTATCTTCCACCTGGCCTGACAAGTCAGGGTCAGAAAAAGAAGTTTAGGTATAACAATGCTTCATGGCAAGTCTGCCAGTGGCTCCATGTGTTTTTGTTTTGTTTTGGCTCTGGTGATAGAACTCAGGCCTGGAGCATACTAAGTGCTCTCTGCCGCTGAGTTACACTCCCAGCCCAGCTTCATGTTTAGTAGTGGTGAGAGGAGAGAGGAGGACCGGTAGTAATGGTAATAATAARTAAATAATAAGTATAAAAGATTTCATGGGTTGAGGAGATCCTTTGGCCAACCACCAGTTGAAGGCCTTTATGTGATTTTTCTCATTGAGTTTGCACAGTGATCCAAGGATGTTGGTGATGCCACCAATAAAATGTCAGTTCCACAAGAGCAGAGACTTCAGTTTGTCCCCTGTGGTACTCCCAGTGCTTGGAACAAAACCTGAACTGTCCCAAGTAAACAGTATTTTCCCAAATTAATAGATGAAGAAAACAAGGCACTGAGCATTGTTGACTTGCCCAGAGTCCCTTAGTCAAGCAGGAAATGGCAGAGCTGAGACTTGAACCCAGAAGCCAAAGCTTATGCTCGTTCTTTTCATGCCTCTTTCTGAGGCAGGGCTGCTTCTGTGGCGGGTAGGATCTTGCTGAAACTTGTGGGCTAGCTCTGTGACCCTTCCCCCTGGGCCTGGGGAGGGGAAGGGAAGAGAACCCCTCATCCCAGGTCTTGCAAATTAGTCATTGACCAAGTGCCTGCAATGCTGTGGCAGCTTGAGGGCAGGGCAGAGCTGTGAGGAGAAGGTGGAGAGCTTGGGAGCTCTGTTCCTGGTTAGCTTTGTGCCCTGGGGTGGGTTGCCCAACCTCTCCAGCCTAGGTTTTGATTCCTCCTTGGAATCAAAGGAGGGGGAATCTCAATAGTGTTTAAGTCGGGTGGTGAGGGGACAGCTTCCTTTCTTGGTGTGTGCGCTCAGCGGGTGGCCTGGCAGGTGATGTGCTCTGAATCTCAGGGAGCCATTGCCGTTGGGGTTCTGCTGCTGCTCTTCCCTCAAGAGAATCACGAGAATAACAAGCTCTGTTCAACTCCCCAGCCACCTCTGAGTGGATCCAGTTCTTTAAGGAAGCTGGCATTCCTCCAGGACCTGCTGTTAATTATGCAGTGATGTTTGTGGATAATAGGTGAGGTGACTTGAGGGGACAGGGCTGATCTTGGGTGCGGGGAGGCAGGGAGCTGGCTGGCCCACTTTGGGCCTCACTACTGACCCTCTCCTGCAGGATCCAAAAGAGCATGCTGTTAGATCTCAACAAGGAAATCATGAATGAGCTGGGCGTGACTGTGGTGGGTGACATCATTGCCATCCTAAAGCATGCCAAGGTGGTACACCGCCAGGTGGGTGCTCTGCATGGAGGGCAGTTGCAGATCTAGCAGGAGACCTGGCAGCACAGCAGGGGGACTTGGGTTCTGAAGCTGATTCAGCCATTTGCTCTGTGACATTAACTTATGGCCTAACCTCTCTGTGTCTTATGTTCTCTGCCTATAAAGAGCAGAGAGGTAAACCTATCCTGAAGTGTGGCTGTGGTAGGCTAGCACAGTGTACTCTGCCTGAAGTAGAGCCTCAGTAAAGGTTCTAACTTTTATCATTATTGTGAATTCGTACCTTCCCCATAATCATCATTTATTTCTAGAACTTTATCTGTCCCCAGGACAGCAGGGTTTGGTTTTGTTTTGCTTTGATTTTGCAGTGCTGGGGTGGAACCAAAGGCCTTGTGCATACCAGGCAAGTGCTGTACCACTGAGCTACACCCGAATCCCAACCCTGACACTGTTTTTGGGGGGTGGGTATTGAACACAGGGTCTTGTGCAAGGTAAGCACTCTGCCACTAAGCTGCATCCTCAGCCCTCTTCTGGATGTTTTAAAGAGTACTGGTTAGATACTTTGTGGGATGTCCCTCAGTTTGGGTGTGCCTGGTGCATTTTCCTGGTCACGAATGAAATGTTTGAACATCCTTTCTCTGGCAGTCAGGTTCTGATCCTTCTCCATGTTGCTCGGATCTCTGTTCCTGGTTCTGTTGTGTTAACCCAGGTGCCTGTTTTTTACAGGACATGTGTAAAGCTGCCACTGAGTCAGTGCCCTGCAGCCCCAGCCCGCTCCCAGGAGAACTTCAACTTCGCCGTGGTGCCTCTAGTGGTGAGTCTCATTTATTCAGGCCTCTTTTCCTCTTCACACTTTGTCAGCAAAGAGGATACACCTGGTTATCCATCGCATCACTTCTGAATTTTGCAGAGGTGGAAGCAAAGCCATCTCAAACCCTCTTTTCTTTTTTGCATGACTGGGGATCTAGTCCAGGGGCCCTCTGCCATTGAGCTACACCTGCAGCCCTTTTTATTATTTTGAGACAGGATCTTGCTAAGTTGCCCAGACTGGCCTCCTCCCTCAGCTTCCCAAGTTGCTGGGATTATAGGCATGGGCCACAGTGCCCAGCCATCTGCAGCCCTCTTTAAGGGAGAGAAATAAACTGGGAAGTGAGTGGCTGTTCTTACAGTGTGTTCTTATTCACTGTGGACATGTTCCAGGGTGCCCAAAAGCAATCTAAGAGGTAGAAGCAAAGCCATCTCAGGCCCTCTTTTCTTTTTTGCAGGACTGGGGATCTAGTCCAGGGGGCCCTCTGCCATTGAGCTACACCTCCAGCCCTTTTTATTGTTTTGAGGCAGGGTCAGGCCCCAGATATGTGTAAAGCACATCTTTAGTCTCTGCTTGCATAATATTTGCTCTTCCCAACTGGCCAGCATAAGCACTTTGTGCTAAGGCCAGAATCACTGTAGGCAGCGCCAACTCAAAGGCATGAATTCAGGGAAGCTGAACAAATTGGTGATTATTTTTACAATAGTCCCACAACATATATGCAGAAAAAGGTTTGATCATAATGGTACAGCTGAATGACTTATGTGTAGGACACCCATGTTGCCAGCATCCAAATGCAGAAACACAAACATGACCAGCCTCCTAGAATCCCCCTTGAGGTCCTCTCAGTCACTTCCCCTCTCTGGGGCATCACTGCCTTGATTTCTAATAGCATAGAGTAGTTTTGCCAGTCTTTCAAATCTTTAATGAGGACATTTTTATATCTTTCTGAATATTGTTAATAGTTTAAGTTAAATTAGCCAGGTGTGGTGGTGCATCACCTGTAATCCCAGCTACTTGGAAAGTTGAGGCAATAGGATGCTAAGTCCAAAGCCTGCCTGGGCAACCTAGTGAGACTATGTCTCAAAAATAAAAAGTGGGGCTGGGGTTATTGCTCAGTGGTAGAGCGCTTGCCTAGCACGTGTGAGGCACTGGATTYGATTCTCAGCACCACATATAAATAAATAAAGTCCATTGACAACTAAAAAAAAATTTAAAAAATAAAATAAAATAAAACAAAAAATAAAAACGGCTGATGGTGGAGCTCAGTGGTAGAGTACTTGCCTGGCAAGTGCAAGGCCCTAGGTTCAAGTCCCTAGTACTACCAAAACAAAGTTTAAAAAATGAGAACGCATATACTTAAGAACTAGTGAAGAAAGTGGGCAATTAAGAAGAGAAGGGGTAACAGGCAAAGAAAGAAAGAAAAGGGTGTGGAAGAGCTCTCCAAACAGCATTCCCACTAAGATCACATGTATGCACTTCCTAGTATCCGTCACGTGTGTCTCTCTGATGCAGGAGGGAGGACAGTTCATTGTTCTCTGATATCCTAACTCAACTCAATTTCAATGGAAAACCAGGCAGACTGGAGCATGCCTGTAGTCCAGCAACTTGGGAGGCTGCAGCAGGAAGATTGCTGTAGCCCAGCAGTTCAAGGCCAGCCTGGGAAACATAATGAGAGACGGTCTCAAAATGAAAATAAAGCAAAAATTCAGTGGAGCCAAGACAGAGTGTTTCACCTCCACCCAAACAGTGCTTAGCTGTCATGATGATAAAGCAGCAGGTCCCTGGCCTCTGTCGGCAATATACTTCCCTCTGTGTCAATACAAGAAGTGTGGCCGTCTCAGCTGCCTTCCTTTTATTGTAGAAGTTCCTGATCATGGTGCACCTGGCCAGGTACAATGCTGTGAGTGGAGGCTCTCCGGGGGCAGATTCTACACAGCCCAAGAGTTTGTAGCTGCTGGTCATAACGCCAACCCATCCAGCTGAAGGAAGAGCTGGAGAGATGTCTCTGGGAAATTGACCCTGGATATATACCAGAGCTTTAGCAGAGAAGAGACCAGGGCTGGAACCAGGCATTTCTTTCCAGAGAGGGAGGCAGTCTGATAGGACCAGGACATTTGTGTGTGCATGTGTGGTACTAGGGATTGAACCCAGGGTTTCTCTACCACTGAGCTACATTCCCAGCCCTTTTTACTTTTTATTTTAAGAGAGGGTCTCACTAGGTTGCCCAGGCTGACCTCAAGTTTGCAATTCTCCTGCCTCGTCCTCTTAGTTGCTGGGATTATAGGTGTGCACCACCATGCCCAGCTCTAGTCCTAGACTTTGAGGAACTAATATTGCTTCTTCTCCAGACTTGGGTGCTGGGTATGTGAGGATCATCTTTTGTTAAATGGTCTGGGTAGGTTTAATTTAGTTTTCTATATGTTATAGTTATTATTTTAAAAAAAAGCAATAGGTAATTATAGCAGTGCATTGAGGGTCATTATGGGAGAGAAAGTCCCTACAGGAAAAGAAGATGACTTTGGGAGGGTAGTGAGACAAAATACTGAAGTCTGGGAATGGGGATGTAGCTCGGGGTAAAGTGCTTGCCTAGCAAGCACAAGGCCCTGGGTTCCATCCCTAGCACCTGGAAAACATCAACACACAATCTGAAAGCCAGTTGGCAGAAAGTAGGGGTTGAGGTGAGGCTTCTGGGACTAGTCAGAAAGTAATGGCAGCATGAAGACTTTCTCCCTTCCCTCCCCTGCAGCGGCTCCCCAAGAGCTCTTGAAACCCATGCCCTAGAGCTAGCAGCAATAAACCCTAGGCAAGACCATCTTCTTCATTCTGGGGCCGGCCCTCCTGTTGGCATGCTGCAGCTCCCACCCTCGCACCCCAGGCATCCCCGTTCCTGCTTCACAGGCAACAGACTACCAGAGACTGCCCACCCATCACCAGAGGGAGGCCACCTCTTTCTTGCCCCAGCACAACTAGAACCAGACCCACATGCTCAGGAGCCTGGCTGAGTGACTCCGCTCCCTGAGTCCCAATCCTTCATCTGTAGAATTGGTTCGCAGGGGTTCCTTTCTAGTGGGCATGTTGGTGTTTTCAGCGATGGGTTCATCTCTTCAGTAGACTTCACTGTGGACGTATGAAGGGTAGAAACCACTTTAGGTACTGGGGACCCTGCAGTTAGCAGACCATGTCTCCTCACAGACTCCTGGTTTTGTGGGGGAGTCCACCAGTAAACAGATATAACTGACTGTCAAGCAGAGTTGAGGGCTACAAGAACAAGAAAGCATAGTGTGGGTCAGGGCGATAGAGGTGACGGGTGCTGACCAAGAGTTGCCACCTGAGAGGAGTCCTGAGTGAAGAGAAAGCCAGCCTCTCAGTACTTGGGGAGYAGCATTCTAGCCAGAAGGAACAGAGAGTGCCCAGGAGGCTCCCGCTTGCCAGGTGAGGAAGATCCTGGAGACTGGCACAGCTGAGGAGCGTGGGGAGGGGAGGAGTGAGCTCAGCCCAGGGCTGGACACCTGATGGGCAAGGTGTGGTGGAAACGAGTCAGGTCCAGGGCCCTGGGAGGGGTGAGCTTCACAGGGAAGGTGAAGCCCTCCTCCAAGCATCCCTATTATGAGGAGAGTGCAGCCACAGGGTGACATGGGCTGCCCCTTCCTTGTGCTGTCCAGTGTCAGCCTTCTCTACTCTGGCTCTGAGGCTGCTGGATTCAGGCCTTCCTCCCAGGGCCCCGCCTGACTGGACCCCCCTCTTTTCTCCCCTCAGCTGCCTCCCGAATGATCGCCAATAGCTTGAACCGAGACTCCCCACCCAGCACTCCCGCCAGACGGTCAGACACCAGCACTTCCAAGATCTCTGTCACTGTGTCCAACAAGATGGCAGCAAAAAGTGCCAAGGCTGCTGGTGAGGGACTTGGGCAGGTGGTGGGAAGAGCTGGAGGTGAATATGTGTTGACAGAAGGTATTTGGGGGGGTCATATCCCCAATATTGCCTTCTTTGAAGTCTACAGGGGCTACAAAACCTTTGAACTGAAATCACCTCTGTGAACTTGGTCAAGTCACCACACCTCTGTAGGGCTCACTTCACGTCTCCAACTGGGAGGATGGTGGGAAGTGCTCAATGGCATGTTGGCGCAGGTGCATTGCTCTTGTTACTCAGTGGCTCAGTCTTTTTTAGCAGCCATTCACTGAGCCCCACTAGTGCTGGACCCTGTGCTTAGTGCCTTCGTCAAAGGTAAAGAACCTACTGCCTCCTTCCAGCTGTCAGTCTGAGCCTGTAACCCTGTGTCTGTAACCCTCTGGGCTTCCCATTTCTGATAATGAAGCCCACCCTTGTCCCATGGTCTCCTAGAGCCCTGCGTGGGTTGGACTCATCTCTTGCATCTCCTCTGCATGCTCTGGCTCAGTGCCTCTCCGGCCTCCTTCTAACAGTGGACCTCTGCCCCTCACGTTCCATGGGCAGCCTCCTCAGGCTTCTCCACGATTGCCCTGTGTTCCTCTTCCCAGTCTCACCTTGAGAGCTGAGAGTGGGACTCGAACCTTTGGACACCAAGATCTGCCCTACTCCTGTGCCTTGGTTGGCCCTGGCCCCACAGTGTGGTGTCATAGGCACTTGGAAGCTGAGGCCCAGGGGGGACTGTGTGTTTCCCAGGCCAGTTCCATCGTACTCTTCCCACATGGGCTCCCCTTTGCCTGGTTTTTTTGGAAGCCTTGCCCCCTTTTGGCCTTGATTTGTGTGCCACAAATAAGAAGGCTACCATTAGTTTATAAGGTGTTGAAATAATGGTGACTGGCTCTTTCACCTCTTGACACATTGAGGAATTCTTTTTTTTAAATTGAAGTGTAATTTAGTTATGCACAATGCCTAAGTGATACATATACAGCTTTATTAGTTGTCATAAAATGAGCATTAAAAAGGGGGGGGGGAAGCACAGTTGTGAAAGTGTAGACCCTTCCCTTCACCCAGAAGGATCCCCATCTGAGGGCTTTTGGGCTGGATTTGGGTGAATCACAGAGAGCCTGGGTGTCTCCCATGTCTGGAGATCCCGAGTTCCTTCTGTGACCTTGTGACACCCAGACCTTTGAGTTCTTCAGGGCTCAGTTGGTGGTGATGGGGCCAATAAGGGGTCCAGTCATGCAAGTATGGAAATAAAGAACATATGTCCCCTTTGCCTAAAGTCTAACCCTAACCCTCTCCTAGCAGCTCTGGCCCGAAGGGAGGAGGAAAGCCTGGTTGTTCCCACCAAGCGTCGCCGCGTCACTGCTGAGATGGAGGGGAAATACATCATCAACATGCCCAAGGGTACCACCCCCCGGACCCGCAAGATCCTGGAGCAGCAGCAGGCGGCAAAAGGTACTGGCCTATGTGTCCTGGAGACTGTGGGTCTCTTGGCTACGTCGCACAACACCCATCATGGCCTGCAGGTGGGGGCTGAGAATTAAACTAATGAACTTAGGGGACCTTGGGCCAAGGAGATGCAATAGTGGCCATAGAGGAGGGGAACACATCACCTGTGTCCTGTCGTCCTGCAGTTAGTGTAGCCAGGCTCCTGAGGGGCAGGGGCAAGGAGTCAGTGATGGCTGCCTGTGAAGTGAATGACCCTGCCTGAGTGAGGACAGGTGCCCCAAAGTGAGCATTGTCATTGTGAGCCAGGGAAGTTAGACTGAGAGTCAGTGCAAGTGGGGGCTGGTAGCATGGAGATGTACTTTGTTATGGTAGCATTGTTTTAGGATGTTGTGTTTGAGGCCAGGTACAATGGCACACTCCTGTGATCCCAGTGACTTGGGAGGCTGAGGCAGGAAGATCACAAGTTCAAAGCCATCTTAGTAATATRGTGAGGCCCTAAGAAACCTAGCAAGACCCTGTCTCAAAATTTACAAAAAGGACTGGGGATGTGGCTATGTGGCTCAGTGGTTAAGTGCCCTTGGGTTCAGTTCCAAGTACCAAAAGAATAGAAGAATGTTACGTTTGTTCTTATAGAAAAACTTTCAGATGGGGCAGAATCATACAGTAAAAAGACTTTCCCATCACTTCTGTATCCCATGGTTGCTGTTAACCTGTTTAGGGTAACATCTGTGATCTTGTGTGTATCTGCTCACATATGGACATTTTTTTCTTTTTAAACACAAATAGCATCATCTTACTTTTTTATTCATTTGTTTATTTTTGGTACTGGGGATTGAACCCAGAGCCTCAAGCATGCTTGCCAAGTGCTCTACTACTGAGCCACATCTCCAGCCCTTTTAGAAATTTTATGTTGGGGGCTGGGGTTTTAGCTTAGTCTTGCCTAGCACGTATGAGGCACTGGGTTTAATCCTCAGCACCACATAAAAATAAAATGAATAAAAATAAAGGTTTTCTGTCCATCTACAACTAAAAATGTGTTTAAAAATAAATTTATGTTGAGATGGTGTCACTAAGAAGTCAAGACTGGTCTTGAACCTGTGATTCTCCTGTCTCAGCTTCCTGAGTCTCTGGGATTACAGGTGTGTACACTGTGCCTGGTTCCTCATCATTATTGTTTTTTTTTTWATTTTGTTCTAATTAGTTATACTCTTCATTCGGTTTTAATGGCCATTTATTTCCATAGTATTTGTGAACCATGATTTGGTAAACATTCCGTTGGTGGAGATTTAGGTTATTATTTGCTGAGAGAACTCATGACCATTCATCAGAGTCTCCTAGGACCCATGATCCCCAAAGAGAAAGGAACAAATAGGAGTTAAGGACTCTTTCCTTACACACATTTCATGAATTTGTACTAAGGAGTAAGGAGTCTGGGGTGTCAGGGTGACTGTCAGTTTGCGATGATCTTTCCCACACTGACTCTAGCCGGTGTGAGGGTGAGGGTCAACAGTAGCCAGTAGTGGGGGTGTACAGCTGACTCGGCTGTAGTGGAGCTGACTAGAGTCTGCTGGCCTTGTCGTCCCTGCCTCAGGGTCTGCATTGCTCAGCCTGGCCCTAGGCCTGCAGGGCTGCTGGGCAGGTGCTGTCTCATGGCCTCTCTTCCCTCACAGGTGTCCACAGAACATCTGTGTTTGACCGCCTCGGTGCTGAGACCAAGGCAGACACGACGACGGGGAATAAAGTGAGTTGGCAAAGGTGGAGCCTCATGGGGCTTGAAAGCTCTTGTCTTCCTGGATGTTGTTCCTGATGCTCCTGCATCTCGCCCCTTATGGGCCCCAGCACGGGCTCCCCACCTTCCCAGGCTGCTCCCTTCTTTGCTCAGGAGGYTTTCCCCTTTGTCTTCTGCCCCCGTGTCTGTCTGTAGTCTGTCTACCTGTCTATCTGTCTGTCTGTCTGTCTCTCTCTCTTTCCAGTCCAGTCCTAATCTGTCCTGATTTCTGCCGGTCGTTTCCTGTTCCCACCAACCCATACTGTCCTTAGCATCTTCCCCCAAAGTCACTCCTCTTCTAGGACCCCTTCTTAGGGATGTCCCCCTCCTCCATTCCAGTTAGTCCTTGAATTGGGTGACTGTCTTTCTCTACCTCTGCTGCCACTTCTTTTTTTTTTTTTTTTAAGAGAGAGTGAGAGAGGAGAGAGAGTGAGAGAGAGAGAGAGAATTTTTAATATTTATTTTTTAGCTCTCGGCAGACACAACATCTTTGTTGGTATGTGGTGCTGAGGATCGAACCCGGGCCGCACGCACGCCAGGCGAGCGCGCTACCGCTGAGCCACATCCCCAGCCCCTCTGCTGCCACTTCTTCCTGCCTGGATGCGGTGACAGCCTCCTAACTGGTCTCACACAGCTGCCGTTAACCCCCTCCAGTCCCTGTCTCCCCAACGGCAGGGTGTGCTGCCCACAGGATGGGCTGGCTTCCTCCTCTGCTGGAAACCCCTCTGAGGCTTTTCCCTGTCCCTGTGACAAAGCCCACTGTCTTGTAGTGGGCTGCAATTCCCTGGGTCCCAGTCATGGAGTATGGTTTGGAGCATACCCTGGATCGCGCTGTGGCTGGCCATGTCACCTTGGCCATTCACTTAAGCCCTTTGTGCCTCAGGTTCTCATCTATACAGTACCAGCTCAAAGGGTGGTCATGAGGCATGAGTCAGATAATCCCTGCATGGTGCAAGGGCATGGGTGTGTGATGAGCCGATGTCACCTTTGCTGAACTGTGGGTCCTTGGCTCTTTCTCCTTCCTCACTCCCTTGCTCACCAGGTGCCACTGCTCTGGCTGTCTCTCACCTCCTCTTACCACTGGGATGATAATCACTCTCAGGGTCATGTGGCTGAGGGATCCAGCCAGGTGGAGGCATCCCTGTGTTCATCCATCCTGCAGGGTGCCTGGCTGTGGAGCTGGAGTTTGGAGTCCCTCTGAACTCTAAGCAGGGTTGAGCTGCCCCTAGCTCCTCCCCTCCCGCATTCTTCTGTTGTATAAATTATGGGTTTATTTGAGCCAGTAAGGCAGGGAAGCTGCTTTTCTGGGAACTCCTGGGTGAAATTTCCCAGTTTGAGAAAGCCTCAGGATCAAACACAGCCACCCAGAGGTGGGGAGATGGGCATAACCTGCCAAGCACCCAATAACCTGTTTACCTCAAGATCCCTGCCTTTGAATCCTTCCCCTTAAATAAAGGATTGGGGCCTTTTTCAGTTGTTCAGTTCCAGTTCCTAGCTGGGCTGGAAGACCCATCAGGCACCCCCTTTTAAATCTGATTTCTGACTGGCTTTGTCTTTCTTTCTTTTTCTTTTTCTTCTTCTTCTTTTTTAAATTGTAGTTGAACACAATATCTTTATTTTATTTATTTTTATGTGGTGCTGAGAATGGAACCCAGTGCCTCACACTGGCTAGGAGAGCACAATCCCAGCCCCTGTCTTTATTTCTTACTGATTATTTTAGACTTTTATTTTCCCAGGTGGCTCACACCTCTGAGTGGGAATCTGCTCTACTGAGGTGCTTGTAACCCTGGCATACTCTTCCTCAGAGAACACCTCACTGTCATACTTGCAGTTATTTATTTATTTATTTTTAATATTTATTTTTTTTAGGTGTAGGTGGACAAAACACAATGCCTTTATTTTTATGTGGTGCTGAGGATCGACCCGGGTCCCACCCGTGCTAGGCGAGCAATCTACTGCTGAGCCACAATCCCAGCCCCATACTTGCAGTTATTGCTGTCATACTTTGGACTGTGAGCCCCTTGGGAGCAGGTCTGGAACTGCTCTGTATCCCCAGCATTGCTTGGTCTAGGGCCAGGCCCAGAGTTGGGGCTCAAGATATATTTGCTGAATAAATGACCAAGTGACTTTTCCCCATGCTCATCTGTAGACCCCGCCCGTGTCGTCCCTCTATGCGGCACACCCTGTTCCTTCCCTGCTTTATTGGACCCTTTCTTTTACTATTCAGATCTCAGCCCAGCTACGTCCTTGTCCAGGGAGCCTTCCTGAACTTCCAGGCAAGGTCTGGTGCTTTCTCTGGGCTTCCTACTCCCTGTCATCTCCACCCCATGCTGTCACCACCATCTGACTGATGGGTGTTTTTTCCAGCATTGAGTTCCAGGAAGGCAGTGTGTTGAGTGACTACATGACTCACTGTCCTATCTCTGATGTCCACAGCCCACGGGAGTTTTCAGTCGCCTCGGGGCCACTCCAGAGATGGATGAGGATTTGGCATGGGACAGCGACAACGACAGCAGCAGCTCTGTCCTGCAGTATGCTGGGGTCCTGAAGAAGCTAGGACGGGGCCCAGCCAAGGCCAGTCCCCAGCCAGCACTGACTGTCAAAGCCAAGGCCACAAGCTCAATGACAACGACGGCTGCCCCAACACTGCGGCGCCTGACGCTTTCCTCACGCCCTGGGCTGGAGAGGAAGCCAGAGTCTCTGTCCAAAGTCAGCATCATCCAGAGACTGGGCAAGGCCACCCTTGTGCCTGAGGCCCAGGACAGCCAGGTCACAAGCACCAAGAGTAAGTCCTCGGCTGAGGTCAAGGTCACCATTAAGAGGACTCTGGTGGGGCCCCGGGGGAGCAGCTCCACTGAGGGCCTTGGTGCCCAGATGGACCATGCAGGCACTGTGAGCGTGTTCAAAAGACTGGGCCGCAGGACCTTCTAGCCCATGAGCGGGGCGGGGTGCAAATGGCAGAATTGCCGGCCTGTGTCTGGCCCCTCTTCAGGCTCCTGGTCCCTTCAGAGCCTTCTTCGAGGGCCTGTCCGCCCACCTGCCAGCTCCTGGTGACACTGCTTGTCTCCCTCAGGCACTCACACTGGGCCTGAGCACTCTGGGGAATCGCCCATAGTTCCTGGTCTGGCTGGTCACTGGCCTGGCTTTGCCTGCCATGGGACTTCCCTTCTCTCCTGCCCTCTGTTCTCTGCTGTCTGGCCATGGCCTTGGCAGAATCCACTTTTCTACCTCTTCCAAGTGCCAAGTGCCATCATCTTTCCTGTGACCCCTTCCTCCCTCTTAGCAGCACTTGCTGCCTCAAACTCCAGCTCCTTAGCTCCCTGTTCCCCTGCCCACGCTCAAAGTGGGTGTCCCCCCCGGGGTCTCCCTTCTCCTGGCACCCAGCCTTTCTCCCTCCTCTGCCCCTCCCCATTGCTGTAACTCCTCTCTTTCTTCCTCTTCACTCTGTTCATTTCTCTTCTGTTTTCTGTCCCCGTGGCAAGGCCCGACTGTCCGCTGCGTCCTGCCTGACCCTCCTGCACCTCCGGCCTCCCAGCGGCCCCCTCGTCGACGGTGGCGTCGAGCCTGTAGAGACTGTTAGCTGCCCTCCACGCCCAGGCTGGAGGGACTTCCCAGGCCCTGGGCTACTGCTGGGGCACCTCCATTTTCCTGCCCTGGGCATCTTTTTCTCTAAAAGTCTGTGGTGGGTGGTGGGCATTGGGAAGGGAGGCCAGTTTGGAGAGAGAAGACAACAGCTGATTTAATATATTTTTGTGACTTCCAAACCGTTTCTCTCCCCTCCTTCAGGGTGAGCTAAGGGTGTTCACTGCAAGCCTAGTATGGGGTAGGGGCGCTGGCCAAGGGTTGGGCTTCGTCACTGAAGGTCAAGCTCCTGCACACGTGTGGGCCTCGAGTAGAGGGAGTAATGGTCACAGTCACCATTCATTCCTCCCCCAACATGCTGCCACTATTCTGCCACTCTGCCCTTCCTCCACAATTCCACCTGTTTCTGCCACTCTGCCTGTTGGTGGCTCTTCAAACTGTGGGCTCCATTTGTGAGGAAATTAGTTCTTGTTGATTCAGTTGTTCACCCCCTCACTCTGCGCAGCCCCCGCCTGTTCTAGCAGGTGGGCAGGGCTGGCCAGGGTCCTGGCTGCATGGTCAGCCTCTGTAATGAGGGAGAAGGTGGCTACAGGATGGTGCTGTCCAAAAAATTGGAGGGATAAGAGAAAGAGGCCAGGGCCACTGTAGGTATATGGGATGAGAAAGCCTTTCAGAGGAGGTGACATGTTGACTGAACTGGGATACAAGAAGTGGCTTTGTGAAGTTCAGTAGGAACATTCTAGCACAGGGACAAGCAGGGGCAAAGGCCTTGAGGTGGGTCAAGGAACATGAAGAAGACCACGGGGCTGCCAGTGAGGGGCAGCTGTCTACCATGAGATGGGGGCTGGTAGACAGGAAGCAGATGCTCTGGGGCTTTGGGACGCAGGGCGAGGAATGTGGATATGGGGCTGAGGGCTCTGAGTTTTGGAGGGTTTGAAGCAGGGGAGTGATGAACTGAGTTGCCGTGTATGACAGTCGGTGGCACTGGCTGCTGTGAGGAGAGTGCGTTGTTGGGAGGGCAGAGGTGGAGGCCACTGAGGTTTCCAGGCAGGGAACGAAGGTGACCTGCCTGATACCATGGCAGTGGGGGAGCAGAGAAACCAGTGGACATAGGGTGTGTTTTGGAAGTACAGCAGCAGACGCTGATTGGAAGAAGGGAATCATCGTCCCACCCAGACTTTACCCCGGAGCTGCTGTGGAATAGCCATTGGCAGAGACAGGGAGGCAGGAGAGAGAGCAGGCTGGGGATCAGGGAACTTTGTTCTGACCATGCTGAGAGTGAGGCACTGCTAGGGTTCCCAATGGGTAGGTTGCAGGCTGGAGCCAAAGCCGAAGGCCCGGTGATACCAACTGGTAAGAGCAGAGAGATTGGGAGGTCCCTGGAGGAGAATTGGTGGACCTTTTCCTATTGAGAGGACAGGATCTGATAAAGGAGTCACCCAGGAGGGGGCAGGGGTTTGGAGGATATCTAAGAGAGCCAGTGATAATCAGACTAGACCTCATATCTTTATTTTACTTAATTTGTTTTCTTCTGTGGTATTGGGGATTGAACCTGTGGACTCAAACATGCAAGACAAGCACTTTACCACTGAGCTACACCCCTGGTCCTTGTCATTTCTTGATGTGTAATAGGAACTACAATGATAGAAAAACACACTTAGCTCACTTACCACAGAAGGCTTACCTGCACCACAGGTAAGTTCTGTCATTGTTGCTTTTCATAGAGGCTCACAGAGGGGAGTATATTGTTGAAGGCCTCAGCCAGCTGACATGTGCCTGGATGGGTTGACCTCAGGGAGCTGGCTCCAGGATCCTTACCTTGACCCTGTCTTGCCTCCATTCTGTATTTGAAACATGACCCTTTGGGGATGGGGGCAGGGTCCTAGGACAGTGATTCCATTTATTTATTTATACTTTTTTTAGTTGAGGGTGGACATGATACGTTTATTTTATTTATTTATTTTTATGTGATGCTGAGGATTGAATCCAGCGCCTCACACCTGCAAGGCAAGCGCTCTACCACTAAGGCATAACCCCAGTCCTCCGACAGTGGTTTTAGACTAGAGTTATCTATGTGAACATGTCCTCAACACCCCATCAACTTGTCCTAGGAAGCATTTGTAGCTCTAAGACGCCACAGGGCTTGGGAGTCCTGCCCTGTCCTGCCACTGTCCTCAGAATGACCAGAACTGATGCCTTCTCTACCTCTCAACCTCTCCAGACTTACAATGTCCCATTCACTTGACTCAGAGATTCCCCCAAATCAACCCAAACAGCTGTGCCCCACAGGGCTGGATTATTCTTTTCTTGATTATATTAAGCATTTTAAACACAAAGAATATACTCACATGGTTCAAGATGGAAAAGGAACAAGAATGAAGAGTCTTCTCATGTCTCCTAGCACCCTATCCCTTCCCCAGAGGCCACCAAGGTTACTAATTTTTTTTTTTTTGTGAACATTACAGAGTCGTATGTGACACACACATACACAAATTTACATATACGATACATACATAAACCAGAGGAAAAGACGTACACACAAGCAAACACACATACATACTGACAGTCTCATTTGTTTAATTGGTTCCTTTTAGGAGGAAATCCATATTGTTTCCAATTTTTTGCTATCATTAGTAGTGCTATGATGAATGAAGCACATGTAGGATCAATTCTCAGGGGAATTTGAAGATCTTCAATGATATCTTTTTTCTTTTTCTTTTTTTTTTTTTTTTTTTTTTTTTTTGTGGTACTGGTGCTTATACCCAGAGGCACTGTACCACTGAGCTCCATCCCCAAACCTTTTTATTTTTTACTTTGAGGCAGGGTCT